GGCTGCTGGCTTCGTTTTTAGGGGCCTATTATCACTATAGCGTCGCTATGCATGCTACTTTTGCATATCATAATGCGTTTGACTAGTCTTGTATGCGAGATGAGTTCTATTGAGCTTGTCTATTCAGTGCATAACTGATTGACGCGATCAGTGATCGTCATTACAGTGCCTACTTATGCATTACCATGTATACAAACGGTACGAATGGTCCACCGAGGGAGAAGGCTCTCGAGTGGTTGCGCCACAGGATGATTCTGCATGCCGGTCTCGTCTCGCGAGAGGCAGGGATTAATTTTAATTTTACAATCATATTTTTATTGATATTAATGTAAATGTCCCGTTAGTTATTTTTTCCCCTGTTATTGTAATGCAAAGAGAAAATTAGACGCAATACCGCACTAAGTACTGAGAATTCTACTCTATATCAAATGTACCGTTTCGAATAAAGCCACTACTATTATTATCAATATCATTTCTTTTACTAATTTGAAAATTCCTCAAAGATTTACACTCCAAGGCATATGGATCTGGTCTTGATTTTTATGACACCTACTAATCTATTGATGTGATCAAGAATATCAAACAGCTCCATTATCATTACTGCTTTAGCTTGCGACCAAAGTTAAACTGCCCTGAAAGTGATAATAGCCCTGTTAAACACTGTTGGTCTCAAATTCTATTATTTTTGTTATTTATTAAAAACAAAAATTGGCGCCACACAAAACTTCATAATTTGTACGCCGGCTGGGATACCCAGCCGGACAACCAGACCGAAACAGGTTGTTGTCTTCAGGGACCATCTCTCTTGAGCGTTCAATTCGAAGTCTGATCTACCAGATAGTGGAGAAGAATCAGGAGTTACTTCTCGATAGTTTCCGGTCACTAAACCAGGAGCCCATGTGTGCACACTGTAGGCTTGGAATCAGAGTTTTCCAGCTCTCTTAGATAGACTAGTATGCTCACCAGTCCAGGCGTAAGCGCCAAACGTTCGTATTCACTATTTCACTTTTATGAGGAACACCCCGTTACATGAAGGTAATAAGAAATAAGTTGATTTAAATAAGGACAGGTTATTCTTTTCCGACTACCGTACAACGGTGGCTTCACATTTTGAACTAGAGGAGGATGAGAAAGATGAGAAACGAGATCTCGAAGGAATTCTTGAATGCGAACTTGGACATCAAGTCATATTATGATCTTGAATTCCATACTGAATGGTTGCGTCAGGACTCACTGCTGAAGCATCTCAAAATAAGAGCGAAGACAGATATTCGGTGACGCATGATTATCTTGACTCTTAATGAAAGCTACTTTGGAGTACAGCTTTCATATGCTATTTCAACCACTTAATAATGTAAAAGGATATTTCTCAAAAATGTGTATGTGATACGCCTAATCATTTTAGAATTAGTATCATATGAAATACTGCCTGAATAATTTTCATATTCAAGGTATTTTTGAAAAAAACACCAGAAAATGCTAACTCTCCGAAGTAAGTAAGCCAATCAAATAATGCATGACTGTTGCTTTCCATCACTGTGAGACTTAACATTCATTAACAACCACATCGTAACTACGTTATAAGACTAGACAGTTATAGAGTCGATCCGAAAGACTAAAATGCTGGAAGCTGAAGTAATTTTATTCAATTAACCTGGAAAACATTTGAGTATTATTCGCTAGTGTGAACAAACCCTATCCCCATCAGTTCAACAACTAAATGAGTAACTAACCGTTTATAACTGCTACGACTCATAGGTCCCCAGTTGCTTACCAGAGCAATTGGCCGACGTCTAATCAAATCGTGTAACAGAGTAGATAGTCTGACCGCGTTTAATGTTGTTATCAGTAATCAAAGAAATCTAACTCTGATTCGATTTTCCGAAGCTAATACTAGCAGGTGACTCAAACTTAACCTGTATATAGGGACGCAAACTGTGGTAAGTCTTAGTTTGATCTGGCGGCGGCTTTTTTCTATATATTATATAATCGTGTGTTCTGGTCTGTGTCACCATTATTATTATTATTATTCGACCCGTTTATCTGAAATCACTTCGAAATGTTTTCTTATATATTATGACGTAGTCTTCTTCCTGTATGTTGCTTGTTAATTAGTGGTTTGTTGTATGTCATTGGTCAAAACTCTTCAAATTTTCTTCAAAACTTATAATGGCGCTACGATAATAAATAAATCGAACATTACTTATCGTGGCGTCAGTTTTTCTTTAAATCATTGTTGGTCATCTAAAATCTTTTTAATTTCTAAGAAAAACTTTAGGTTAACTTATTAGATAAGGAAATTTAGACTTTATGGTATAATTTAACCTCTTCGTTTACAATTTATAAATTCATGCCATCTGACCACTCTTCTCTGTTGCCCCCTCCCTTATTCTTCCCTAGGTTTCTCAAAAGAAAAGACTACGTCATATTAGGTAGAACATTGAAGGCTATGGGTAGGGTTAGTGAAGAGCCTTCGACTCATCTAACTGATATTGTTATTGATAGGCACTTTTAATTCTTGTATGCAGTTAGCCAAAGTTGTCTTGTCCGATAGTGAATATGTCTTATTTATTCGTAAGTTTCTCTTCGTGAAACCAGAAGGAGTTCCAGAAGAATCTATGCTCTTTCGACAAAATATTAAGAATGCCAGCATAAAACATTTAGCGTGGATTCTGTGTGAAGAGACGAATGTGTCAGAAAAGAGCTTACAGACCTTTTAATCAGTAAATAAACTACAAATTATAACCTGAAATGTTATTACACATATATTAGGTTTCAGTTTTTGAAGTTTTTTATTTTTATTATTTTATTTATTTATTTATTTGTAAAAAGAGATAAACTGTTACAGCATGCACAAAGCTGTCAGTTCCATTCTGTATGAGAAATTAGTGCCTGGAATAAAGTAATCATTACTATCACTATGAAAAGCTACAAGCTTCTTTTCGTGTTAAGGGCCATGACATCATATTCCACCAAGTGTTGTTTCACTAAGCTGTAATCAACAAGCATAACTTCTTCCTAGTAGAATAAAAGTAATATCTATATTTTAATTTTATGTATGCTGCAGGCTATCTGCAAGTTAAGAGAAGCCTTGGAATAAAATCTATATATATTTTTATACTATAAACCTTGGCTTTCAGCAAATGGGTAACGGACTGAGTTCCCGCCCCCACCCAATTGAGTTTTGTCAACTGATCAGTACCATCAGCCTTCACACAACAAGTAAAGCGCTTAGCCTGATTCGCGAAATATTTATTTCGGGTATTTGATTACAAATATAAAATTGAGCTCTCGCTCAGACAAAAATGATCGAGGGAACACGCTGCACAATGATTTCGGTTTAACTATGTATCTACACTGTTTAATATGGTAGTATGCCAGTATAGGAAATTCAGTTATAGATGCACAAAATTCACAACGCACAGGGTTAATTACGCATACGTAAGAAAAGCAAACCAGAAAATAACCGTAAATTTTTTCTAAATAAAGAGCTTGATTCAGAAATGTTTGCTGGCGGCAAAAAACTAATTTTCATTTATCCTGAGGAGCGTAATTATTTGACATACCAGACACTCTTCCCAAACACTATGGTGCTAAAAAGCTTACCAGTGACATAGAATTTTATGCATAGAACTAATTATGTTAAAATAATTAAAAATAATTTGAGAAGGAGAAACTATAAACAAATTTAGTCGGTATAATTTTTCTAGGTTAACGTCCTACCACATGGAGTGCTAAAGACTTTATATTATAGACGCCCATTTATTCTGTAGCTTTTACTCAGTAAATGTTTGTATAACTTTTGCTCAGAAATCGTAGACGCCAGTAGTTAGCTTCAGATGATCACTATTGCCGCCTTACAATCTATTCCCATCTTGAATGATATTAATAAGCACCTTACACATTGCTTTACTGATAATTAACCTAAGTCAGTTTTATAGCAATCAAATATATGTCAGTACACCTCGAAGCTGAATAGCTTAGACGTATATTCTAACCATTCAGTGGTAGCCGACGATTATATATATATATATATATATATATATATATATATATATATATAAACATATAAATTCAGGCATTAAAATATTATCTATCACTATGACTAATGCAATTTTTGAGTCTGCAGACTTACGAAAGACATAGCTTACATATCTTTTCCAATAGGCTTCTAGCCTAGTTATGTTAAGTTCTTAGAAAGTGGAGAAGCATAATTGTAATAAACATATGCAAAATGATAGAACAGTATACTACTTCCATTATTATGATATGCGATACAAGTTATAAATTAGCTAATATCTGGAAGGAATGAGTGAAATAAATCTGTACTCAGACACATTAGATAAATGGTGCAGAGTAATGCAAACTAAGCTTGCCGAAGACAGTGAAAAACTATTAAAACACATTGATAGAAAGGAATATCAGTCTATGTTGCGGTTCTTTTTGGTTGGAGTTGCTACACATTATATCATATCAAAAAATAGAGTGAAAGAAAATCGGCAGATGCAAAAACAATACTATTAGGTTGAACAATAAGACAACAACAGTCAGAATTAGTGAGGCTGTTAGGTTACGACTACTACAAATTAAGAGAAGACAGGGTATTTTAAGCCATTCAGATTAGTTCTTTAAAATATTGTCTTCAATCCCTACCACAGACTGTTTGTCTACTATGTCCCAAGATAAAATCCTGTAACCACCAAAGGTTATTATTTTTCTGTGTACACACAAGTATTGGTAGTCACGATTTTTCCTTTTGGACTTAATCTAAATACGTAGGAATCGGTATATTTTTAATCGAGTAGAAGAAAATACTGAACTGCTGATGTTTAGTTAGTTCTGAGATATTTGAGTGTTTATGACTATTGAGTTCTATACAGGGTTACTGACGGGCACTAAAGCATATTTCAGGGAAATATGTAATTTATCTGTTTTTCAAAGAGATGAGATGAAATTATACAGAATGTAAGCTTAAATCATGTAAAACTATATGAACTTACTTTACAGCCCTCGCAGGAAATCACACCATAATGATAACCACTAGCTTTGTCACCACAGACCTTGCATGGGGTAAAAGTAGCTTTAATGGACCCAACGTTAGAATTGCTGTCGGCTGCAGAAACTTCAGAACCACGTTCCACAGGTCTTGACGCTCTACAGTTACCCATTGAACCAGGACCAGATGTTACAGCTCCACAAGCTGTTGAAGGATGATCACAGTTTCCAGGCACACCATTTGGTGAGTCCTGAGGAGAAATTTTACCCATAGAATCCGCACAAGTAACGTCACCGAAATTAGTATTGCTATTGTGAGGTCCCAACTGACGAGGTGAGGTTGTGATATGAAGAGGTCGTAAATCAGAATTATGGAAGTGATCTGAAAACGGAAACTGACTATGGTCACGATTTTGAATGAAGTGGTTTTCTAATGAACCATTGTGTTGATCTCTGTTCAAAGACATAGAAGTTTGTACCATTTCTGGAGGGAAAAGTTGTGGTGGTATATTGAAATTACTGCTCGGAGCTGAACAAAGTGTGGATGGAACTTGACGTTGATAAAATGAATTCGAGACATGTGGAGATGTGTAACTTACAGAATATGCTGATGGGGGACTAGATAAAAAACCCTGAGGAAAAGATTGTCTGGAAGGTATAGGATATTGATGATTAGCCGACATAGGTAGATTGTTACTGTCTGAAAATCCTGAGTATGTTTTATTTTGAAAGTTTAAATATGACTGGTCAACTGATGGAGAACCATTAGATTCCATACAACCAGGAAACCCAGATAATGGGGGAGAGGGAATAATTGAAACCGAAGCACTTGCATTAGTTTTAAAAGAAAATGTGCTGCTCACGCCAGAATCAGAGAACGAGGCACTACCAGGATCTGTCGCATCTGTTTTTAAATCAAAATTTAATTCTGGGCTTATTTCCATCACTAATAAAAAGATGAAAGAAACGGATAGTATATTAGTTTAAAGTGACAATAAATCAAAACCGAAAAATTATTTTTAATGTGTAATTAAGTGTAGCATTTATTTGTAAGGAATAAGAGCAACAAAAACACCTAAAAAGAATTAACTTACAAAACTGGTCTACATGCCAAAAACTCCAAACCAACCGAAATAATTAATCGCTGCGGCTACCTAAGTTTACTCAAGGTCATATAAAGCTTTGTATTTGCGGTGCGTTCTAACAAAATCCTGTTATCTGATGTTATGTTGCATCCACTCCGTTAAATTCAGTAGTTTTGACTAATTTATCGTACTGTTTTTTAAAATTTGTGTCATCTAAACTTGCATGTACCTTATGTATTTTTCGTTTTGCACCTGGTGAGAACTAGTGTTGCTGAGATAGAATTTTGCAGTTTTCGTATTTTTATTTAAAGGTCTTTACATATAGAGAGGAGTGGTACGTAAATTATGAGAATATTTCTAGGGTCTTGCTTTTACAAAGCGTTTAGGGCAAAAGATAGTTTAGCCAGCCAGGCGTAACTTGCCTAAGTCAGAGGACGTGGTATGTGAGATTTTATGTTACTATATTTTGGAACAAACGCTCGTTGTGTGCTGCCACAAATTTATTTTACTAGTGTTTTCACCCTGGAACGTTTTACCTTTTATTAGTGGGTTATCGGTCAAGTCAAAAATATCTTCCCTTTGAGCACTTAGATTTTTCTGTGCGGTATTAGTCTGTCATCTTCATGAATGAAGATCAGGACTTAAACCATAGGGTGGGCTGTGGGCGATTTCAACTCATGAGCCCACTAGTATGCGAAACATATATCACGGTTCCTCAAGGAATTTCTTTTCGCACTGGTGATAGCCAAGCCAATTTAGACTAAGTAATTATTCTTCTAGCTCGATTGCAAATCCTTCTAATATTATAAGTAATAAGTAATAATTTTTATTTTCATATAAACATAAATTTACATGAAAATGCATGCCATTTTTACAGGCACGATCGAGTATGGTATAATGTCAAATCTTAAGTTGTCTACAAGTTAATAGTGTTTCAACAGTTAAATATTTGATATACATATAATCAAACTCATTGTCTGAACCAGGCCGTATAGTTATTGAATTGTACAGTTGTCCTCCAGGTTGGGCGGGAAAATCGACTTCGTTTCGTTTTCATCCCGTGGTTGTAGGCATACGATAACTAACCAATATTGAAGTAAGTACAACGTTTACCAGGGATTGGAAGCTGTTTTAGAAAAGTTAAAGTGCTAATGTGAATCATTAAAGTGTAATAAATTAAGCAAGTGCAATATATCATTAATAAATACATTTATATAGAAAACAGGATGGGGAAGTAATTAATCCTTAGGCCGACAACGTTCATTTGCAATGTATAATAAAACCAATATTCTTCATACTATCATGATGTCCACTTTTGGCTTTAATACAATTATTTTCAAGCCAGTTGTTTTTATTTCATGCCTTTTTGTCTATTTGGTGCACAACCGTACCCTACAGAGAATAGGAATAGAACAAGTCGAATCAAATTCATAAAGAGCTATAAAATGTCAGGTTTAATGGAATATAATGAGGATCAAGTAAAGACGTTATTAGAAAATGAGTGAGATAAGACATTGTGAAGTGGTATTTAAAGATCTGTAGTCAAAATGAAACTTTACCAGCGAATACTGTGAGTAATGCGGGCGTGGTTCCTTTGAGTGTATATTTTACCTGAGTCTTTATTTCATCAGGGTTGCCCTTCATCTTTTGTCAGATTTTTAAGCAATTCGCACAGTGAGAAACCACGCTGCATTCCGTTCCATTGGAAGGAAACCAGCAGAAAAACTGACTGAGGTACACTTCATTTTTCCACAGTGAGTTAATTATACATAGATAAACGGATAAAAACCGTCCTGTTATCAGCATAGTCAAGTAATTATGCGAAATGTATTCAAAAATTGTGGCAGCCGCAATGACAAGTTTCGCGTACTAGCTTGGCGTTGGTCGAAGATAGGAAGCTTTTATTCTATGGTAATCCTTCTCAAACAAGTACCTATCCTTGAAGTTGCAGACACCACTCTTCAGTGGGTCGGTACTGAGTGTTGGTGACTCGGTGGAAGAACCAGTACCTCATGGTGCCATAGTTTCAACTGCCCATCCAAATGTCTTACTGCTTCAGCTAGAATGTTCAGGCCTGATGCAAGAAGGAATGGAGGTTTATGTCAGGTTCTTAGTCATTTTTTAGAAATTTAGGGTATAGTCATGGGATTTTCTCTCTGTTCACAGTAAAAAGACATTCGTGCTCTCAAGCTATTCCTTGTATGATAAGTTAGCCATACCAGGAACTGAACTATTTCTGGGATATAAGTTTTCCTTTCGATCCAACGGTTTCTTACCTGGATGAAATTCTCGTAGCAGAGTTATCAAGGACGTATTGAGGCGGTTAAAATTTTACCGTTTATCTCGTCAGACGCCCTGCTTATTCCTAGAGGTGGTCAATTATCGCTTTGCTACAGCGTCCCAGAGGTCTTATTACGGGTCTCACCATGACACTGGATCCATATGGGTCTGAAATGAAGGGAGCTGTATCCTATCAACATCAGAAACGGTGACACCTACTCAGTAGATGCGCACAGTTGATTACTTTCCCTAGTTTCTGGATTGCCCATGGCCTCGTTGTTTGAAGAAGGGGTTGAGACTCAACCTGAAATATGGAGGTGAAGACTGTGTCTTTAAAGTCACATAATAAGGTGATCCGGAAATGCCAGGCGATGGAAGGGCATATAATATGCCCGCTAATTAATTGAAAGTCCCTGGATCCCGTCAGTTAGTCTGTGTCTAGTTTGCCCAGGGATAGGTGTGAGGAGGATCTTGTGGAGCAGCCAAAGTTGATAGAATACATGGCGGCAACGTCTGTGAGAAGACTCTGAGAGAGCAACCCGTGTTGTTTTGGTCGTTTCCTGGCATTCTCCGAGTGCGTCCCTATCAGAAACCAGGTTTGGGACCCTGTCAGCTGCCCTATTCCTGAGGCTCGTGTGCGAAGATGATTTCTCGTGCTGTGTTAGTCCTTTAGTGGGTACACGCATTCGAACATAGAAAAATCTCCATTTAGACGTTCACAAGACAAAATAATTGAAAGGAGAAATACTTGCTTTTCATCTCTGGCTCTACCCAAATATATGCATAGCATTTTTGACTCAATATACAAAATTAACCATTCTAGCAGCGATACGTCAGTCAATAGTGATTAGTCGCTATTAACACGTCATGGGGACCATAATTAACACAAGAACCAATGCAGGTCACCATTAATACAGCTTCAGCAAAGTTTAATAGTAATAATTTCGCTTTTATTCCAGAAACAGTACTAATGGTACAGTGTGGAGTTTTCAGCACATATCTACAATATTGCATCTAATTTCGTCGCACCTTTAAAAGGAGTTTTGCAAAGAAATAAATACAAAAAACAAAAAAACCAAGGCTTAACCTTCTAGGTGATAACTGCAGTGAAATGGTAACGCAGTCCTCGGGAATACAGTCTAGAGGGCATCCTTGCCAGCAGAGATAGAGTGTTTTTACCAGTTACCCCAATCCTCGACAAATGGGAATCAACTACCTAGTTTTCCCGCCTTTATGTCTATCCACCAGTTTCACTGCTACTGTGAAGCTAGTTACATTTGGCTTACAATTAGTCAGCTTCACCATCATATTCCTAGACTTCTTCCTGCGTCGTGGGGTAAGTGACAAACACCATCGATCCGTTGCTCTGTTTCAGCACACCTTATAGACGGTGATTATAAAGCTGGGGTCAGTGATGCCTTCAGAGTTATTCGTCGTATTCTGATTTATGCATCGCGTCATCCATCCGTCGTAATCATACCTTGCCTCTATTTGCCTACATTAATTTTCCTGGTTAATTGTTATCCCCTGACATGCTGATAGTGAATCATTATTATTGACTAACGCATCACCGATAGAATGGGTAATTTTTTGCGTCAAAAATGCTATACGTATATTAGGCTACATCCAGATATGAGGATCATATTGAAAAGGAAACGTCTGTCCATCCGATCCTTTTGTCTTCTACAAGGTTTATTCGTGGAAGACAGTGTTATTGACCTTTGGGAACTGTCCATGGGATGTGGGTTTGAGTTATAATAATGAAATTGCATGCTCATTTTGTTTACATGAGGGAGGCTAGCTTACAGGCATCATCAATATGTTAAATATTATATATATATTCAGTATGTTTACAATTATTCACTTAATAATAATAATAATAATAGTATATTCTCATTTTGTACATGAGAGACGCCAGTTTACAGGCATCATCAATATGATAAATTACATATACGATTAGCAGTCATAATTAATAATAATGTTTTAATAAAGTACACATTTTTTCCTACTTGTGTAGGACACACCAAATATACAGGCATGGGTAAGCATTATATAAATTTCATAAATTTGGTTTGTGGTTAAGTTACATGGTTGCTGGCGTTTTTGTTTTAATAATAATTATAATAATGTATATTCTCATATAAACATATAAATTTACATGAAAATGCATGCCATTTTTTTAGGTCTGTGGGAACAATATGATAACCAGTCATTCAATGGAGCACATCATGAAATATAGGAATATTAACTTCGCATTAACAAAAAAACCCAAGTAAGTTTCGGATGGATTAAAAATACTTGGGAAAAAATAAAGCTTGAAGTTATTCCACAATATAACAAGTCATTCAATGGAGCACATCATGAAATATAGGAATGTTGTCTTCGCATTAACAAAAAAACCCAAGTAAGTTTCGGATGGATTAAAAATACTTGGGAAAAAATAAAGCTTGAAGTTATTCCACAATATAACAAGTCATTCAATGGAGCACATCATGAAATATAGGAATGTTGTCTTCGCATTAACAAAAAAACCCAAGTAAGTTTTGGATGGATTAAAAATACTTGGGAAAAAATAAAGC